AATAAACCAAATAATGAGGAATATGAAGAAAGAATTATGCTCATTTTCATTATTATAAATCTATTATTATTTTCTGATATTTGTCTTCATTTCACCATTCCCAAATTCCCAAAGATAAACTTAATTCTGGAATACTACAATAGGGTAATTAAGTTGGACTTCACTTTACTCATAATCTTTCTGATATTACAGACTTAAATAACATCCTCTTTCTATCTTCATCTTTTGAAACTAATGATGTCTAATCTTTTTGATCTGTTTTTCAATAGTCAAAGGTGTCTACTATTCCTTTCAGTCTCTTTTTTTGGACTTTATTTTACTGCGTTTTGCTTTAGGTATATAATGTAACTAAGCACGGCAATAGCATGGTTTTATGAAAAAATAGAATAACAGTTTCTATTTTGGTTCCTATGATCTTTTTATGCTAGTCAGCATTTTGTTGGTTTTTGTTACAGCATCACACTGGGCTGATGTTTACAAAGAAATATATAAAGACTCTACAATATCCCTCCTTGGTCAGACATGATAAATCAGAGTCCTTAATCCTAAAATCATAGCTTGGATTTTTTTTAAACTAGATCTCTTATTTCACTGGTGTTGGCAACTGTCCAGTGAAACTATCTCTACCAATGCTTATGGCACAAATCTGCACCCTGGAGTCTCAGAGGTGCCTAAGATGCCAAGTGTTACCTGCTGAGGGTGACATAGAGAGAGCCAGATGTATCACTGGAACAAAGATCTTCCCGATACTGAGGCTGGCTTTCTATCCTCTATGCTTTGCTACCTTTCAACTTGGGTTAATCCTTCCCTAAATGTATCACCAGAGACTTGTTCATAATGAAACCATCAGCTACTTTTCTGCCCCCTAACATTTTCAAAAGATCTTTTGATAATTTATCTTCTTCATTGGACTGGCATTTTGAGTTTAATGTAATCTAAAACCTGAGTTTTGGATGATGCCATTACTGTAATGTACTTTCTTTTTTCTCTTTTAAAGTTTTCAAACAGAAAAGCTTCTATTTCTCTTAGTAGTTCATCCTTTCCTGGTAAGAAGTGGACAGATCTCCAGCCTTGAAGTCAGGAGGACCTGAGTTCAAATTCGACCTCAGATACTTGACACTTACTAGCCGTGTGACCCTGGGCAAGTCACTTAACCCCGACTGCCTCACAAAAAAAAAGAAAAGGAATTTAACAAAATCAATTACTGTTAGCCTGTGTGCTAGCTTAAGTGCATCACCTGTAGCGAAAGTGACAAAGACCTCTTATTATTAGAAGCAGCAATGACTTTACCATTCCCCCAGGTCAAACCCCACCCCCAATACTTAGTCTTCAATCTTTTCAGTATGTAGGTTGTAAAGAGAAAAGTCCACTTTGCTAAGGTGGCTAAGCAGATCATACTGTGTACTGCTTCAAGCCATTATCAAAGGGCTCATATCTTTTACATGAGTTAATGTCACTCACAGGACAACAGCTGTGTCTCCATTTCCAACAGACATCCCTTATTAGGTGATTTGCCTCTTCACTCTTGGCACAGGGATCAGGAAATAGGCTCCTAAGCTAATGTCTTGATTCCAGAGTAGCAGAGATCCCTGGGAATAAGATGTTAGCTACAGCAACTAAACTGGAAAACAGATGAATATTTTTTATCTTTATTTATACTGGATAAAGTGAAGAACAGAGTTAGATTTATTTATTCCCGAATGGACAATGAAACCTGAGTTGGATTTCTACAGTGTTCTTGGTCCAAAAAAGGCTTCATTTTTCAGATGAGGTTCTGTCCTTATCCTTGCTTCCAGAATCATACTGCTGACACACAGTTTCTGTACTCTACAGTACTAGTTTCGCCTTCCTCCACTTTGGAAACCGCTCGTACTTCTGATCTGAGATGGTCGCATTTTTCCACAGGACCTTATCACGCAAGTCAAACGAAGGAGAACTCGTCAGGGTGGGATCTCCAGGGCATTGTCATAATGGAATGTCCAATGGTGCATTCCACTTGTCAGTGACATTCTGCCTAGAAGCCCACCTGGCTGTGCTCTAAAGGAGGCACATTTGGCTCTTTGCCTACCACGAAAAATTTCTCTACATAGAAACCGTAAACTCTGATTCCCACAATGAAAGTCTATGTAAGTTATGCAGCTACTCCAAAGATGTCAAAAGGGAACAAAAGGGAACATCCAGCAGCTGATGATGAATGAGCAAGGGTTTCCAAAGCAAACCCCATGCAGAGAATAAACTGCCTACTTGGCCTCCATGGGGTGATGAAAGAGGGAGAAGGTACCATCTGCAAGCCCAAGGCAATGGAAGGGATATGAAGTGGAAAATAACAAGCTTCCAGGCCCCCAGCCATTCCATAAGCACAGAGGTACTGAGTGGACTTAGGCCAGGGCACAGGTGGTCCAAGACCCAGCTGGACCTTGGCAGAGAGAGGAAGAAGAAAGCACTGTAATGAACTTCCCACTGGGCTTCCTTTAAAGCTCAGCTCAGGTGAACCTCATCCAAAGCCTTGGATCTAGCTGTCAGTGGTCTCTCTTTCCTTAAATTATCTTGTATAAACTTATCTGTACAGTCTGAAGCTCCTTAAGGGTGAGGACAATTTTTGGCTTGCTTTTGAATCGTGGCGTGCCTAGAATAGTGCCATAATACAGTAGGCACTTAACTGCCAGGGCAGCTAGGTGGTGCAGTGGATAAAGTGCCAGGTCTGGAATCAGGAAGACCTGAGTTCAAATGCGGCCTCAGACACTCACTAGCTACATGACTCTGGGCAAGTCACTTAACCTTGCTCAGTTCAGTTTCTTCATCCGTAAAATGAGATGGAGAAGGAAATGGCAAACTTAGTATCTCTGCCAAGAGAACCCAAATGGGGTCAGGAAGGATCAGACACGAATGAAACAACTAAACAACAACTTAAATGCCTAATGAATAAATGACGCAATATTTAGAAACACTAATATTAGAAAGTGAACAGGACACATTTGTCAGTGAGGAAATTAAGATTGAAGTTTTGAAGTAAGCATATTGAAGAATACAAGAACACAACTGAAATAATGAAAAATAAATAAAAATTTCTCCATGTTTGCTGTGGCATTACCAGAGGGATTAGACTGAACAGCTTCCTGTTTCTTCAATTATCAGCAGTAAGAATTTTGGAGTAACAGAGCTAAAACATATATGCCCATTTCAAATGTACAGGGCCTAGAAGAATAATGACAGAAAAAATCACATCTACCCTAGCAAAAAGTTTACATGTGTAGCGACAGACCACTAGTGTAAATATTAACTGAATGAACAACCAAAAAAGGGTAAAATTTGTGGCTTTTTTTTTAAACTTTTAAACTTTAACTTCATTTAGAAATTAAGATCTGTAACAATATCAATTTTTTTGTTTATACATACATCAATTAATAGCAAAACGTCATTGATTAGACTAAGAATTCCAAATAATTTAATAGTCCTTTGGTGTTTGACAGTCTAGGGGAGCGTAGTAGTACAGTTCCTTGCTTCTGATTAGAAGAAGGTTATAAAGTATTATATGAATCAATGGCAGCAAATATTTTAAGTATTAAATGTGCAGATAATAACTCTCTACTAATTCCACGGATAAGGAGGGCAGCTAGGTGGCACAGAGGATAGAGCACCAGCCCTGCATTCAGGAGGATCTGAGTTCAAATCCGGCTTCAGACACATAACACTTACAAGCTGTGTGACCCTGGGCAAGTCACTTAACCCCATTGCCCACCAAAAAAAACTAACAACTAATTCCACAGATAAGACTTTAGTAACATCAAACAGATGGAACACAGCAGAAACTTGGAGGTAAAATGTTATAAAACCTTCACACTTCATTTTGTAGGAAATACATGATGACAAAATATATGATTATATGATAAAATAAGGTATCAAAGTAGCAGGAAACACTAAGATCATCAAGAATTGACAGCTGATAGAAAGAAGAGATAGAATTATAAAAGCATAAATAAATCTGAGACTATGGCTTTAGAGTCAAAGAAACAGAGCTCGAACTCCATCTTAATGATTCCTACCTGTATAACCTTGGGCAAATCACTAAATGTCTTTGGGCCCCAGTTTCCTCATCTCTAAAATGAAGGAGCTGAACTACTAGATGATCTCTGAAGATTAGATCTTTGATACTAAATAACCCAAATTCGTAACCTCATAGTTGTCACTGATTTTTTTTTTGCCTCTCACCCAAAACAGCCAATCTGTTGTGAAATCTTATTGCTTGAGTATTCACAGTAATTTATGGTTGAGCTTTTCTTTACATTCTCCTCTTCTCATTTAGCCTACCTGTTGAACAGCTAGTCTTCTAGTCTCCAGCCTATTTCAGTTATCATGAATAGTTTTGATAATGTCACTCAGCTACTTAAAAATCTTTAGTGGCTCTTCAAGGTCAACCAAAAACAATTCAACTTCTGGAACCTGCTATTAAAGAGCCCTGATAAACTAGCCCTACCTCATCCTTATATAACTTTCCTTCAATGTATTCCATTTTTTTATACTGTCCTTTCTTCTTATCTCTAAGGCTCTGCTGAGACCTTCCCTCCAAACTTAGAAGACTCTTCTCTGGCCAATTTTTGTCAGTTAAAGTAATTCCCTTCCTTCAGGGCCCATCTCAGATGTTCCTTCCTGCATGAGTACACCCCTACTTAGGTGTAACGTCTCAGTTACTGATAAAATTGGCTAATGAGACAGAGGGGATACATGTATATCAGTCAATTAATGTTTGATGATATAAATTATAATAATCACCAAGTAACAAAATTTAAAGAATTAGCCTTTTGATGATTTACAAAAGAATTTCGTCTCTTTTGATCTCATTTATAAGAATTTCATTACATGATATATATATTGCTTTTATGACAACAATCTGTTATGTCTTCAGTTATGAAAAGTCTGCAACAAAACGTATTCAAAGTTTGTTTTCTATTTAAATGATCAATCCCCCTTTCATTTTGCTATTGCCTAAGTACCCATATTACCGTTTCACATGTAGTTTTCCTTTATGAGCTTGGTATCTCAAACAGTCATTGATCCCACAACTTCAAATAATTCAGTTACTTTCAATTCCTGTAAATAAAAATTAAATAAGATTGAGTGGTTATAAAATATCAAAATGTTTTTAAAATAATGTTTTGTTTAAGCCAGCCACTAAAAATTGCCAATAAAAGCCTCACTTTCAGCAAAATCATCTGAAAAAAATCCAACCTAAATCAATTTCTAATTTCAGTGACCAATGAATTATAAGGGTTTAAATATCATACACTGATGTTTCATTTCTCTGCCTTATATGGATATTTTTTAAACCATTCCCTCAGTAGTCAGATTATGGTCACTTCATATCTGAACAAAAAAACTAAATAAATATAAGAAATGCCATTCTGACTCATATTTCCAAGGTGGTTCCCTTTTTTCCTAACCACCGAAATTCAGATTTATGAGAGAGAACATCTTACTAACTCAATATTAAAGGAGACCTAGTGTGCCACAATTTAACTTCCAGAGAGTAAATATCATCTACTGAATATAAGTAAGGTATAGACGGAGTAAGGAAATTGAGAACTATAATAATATTAACATATTAGTACTTTAACTCCTTTGGTATTAATTTTGTAACCACTGAAAACTCATTCAAAACTTATTTTCAATCTAATAAATTCATACAAAAACAGATCAAAACAAATAACTTGGAATTTATGAAGTACTATAATAATTAAAAGGTACCTTATCCCAACCAGACTCCAAGGAAAACTAATTACGTTTATACAGAAGTAGAATAGACTGCCTTAGGAGGTCCTAAGTTCCCTCTGAGGGATTGTATTGGGAGAAGAGGAAAGGAGGAGGCAGAAAAGGGTAAATTACATCACATGAAGAGGCACAAGGACCTAATACAGTAGAGGGAAACAAGGAGGGAGATGAGCATTGTTTGAACCTTACTCTCATCAGATTTGGCTCAAAGAGGGGAATAATGTACTCAGGCGTAGAAATCTAACTTGCCCTATAAGAAGGAGGAGGAGAAAGGGGAAAGAAAAAGGAGGGGGTTGACAGAAGGGAGGGAAAAAGTAGTGAGGAAAAAGGGGAAGAAAAAGAAAGGGCTAATAGAAGGGAAGGAGGGACTGAAGGAGGTGGTGGTCAAAAGCAAAACACCAGTGAGAAGGGAAATGGAAAAAAGAAAGAAAAAACAAAAGAGGAGGCTGGAAACAGGTTGGAGAGAAAGACAGATAGTAATCATAAGTGTGAATGTGAATGGTATGAACTCTCCTATAAAATAGAAGCGGACAGTAAAGTGGATTAAAAACCATAATCCTACAATATGTTGTTTACAAGAAGCACAGTTGAAGCAAAGACATACACACAGAATAAAGGTAAAAGACTGGAGCAGAATATATTATGCTTTAGCTGAAGTAAAAAAAAAAAAGTGGGGGTAGCAAGCCTGATCTCAGACAAAGGAAAAGCAAAAATAGATCTAATTTAAAAAGATAAGGAAGGAAACTACAACCTGCTAAAAGGTACCATAGACAATGAAGTAATATCATTACTAAACATATATGCACCAAGTGGTATACCATCCAGATTCTTAGAGGAGAAGTTCAGGGAGTAACAGGAAGAAATAGACAGCAAAACTATACTAGTGGGGAACCTCAACCTTCCCCTCTCAGAACCAGATAAATCTAATCACAAAATAAACAAGAAAGAAATTAAGGAGATGAACAGAATTTTAGAAAAGTTAGATGTGGTAGACCTCTGGAGAAAACTGAATGGGGATGGAAAGGAATATATCTTTTTCTTGGTGGTACATGGCACCTACATAGAAAAACGACCATGTATTGGGGTATAAAAACCTCACAATCCAATGCACAAAGGCAGAGATATTAAATGCATCCTTTTCAGATCATGCTGCAATAAAAATAACGTGTAATAAAGGGACATGGAAAGACAGACTAAAAATTAATTGGAAACTAAATACTCTAATCCTAAAGAATGAGTGGGTCAAACAACAAATCATAGAAACAATCAGTAACTTCAACCAAGAGAATGACAATAATGAGACAACATACCAAAACTTATGGGATACAGTGAAAGCAGTTCTTAGGGGAAATTTTATATCTCTCAATGCTTGCATGAATAAAATAGAGAAAGATGAGATCAATGAATTGGACACGCAACTAAAAAAGCTAGAAAAAGAACAAATTTAAAATCCTCAATTAAATACTAATTAGAAATTCTGAAAACCAAAGGAGAGATAATACTGAAATTAAGAAAACTATTGAACTAATAAATAAAACTAAGCTGGTTTTATGAAAAAATAAAATAAAATAAATAAACCTTTGGTTAATTTGATTAAAAAAAAAAAGAAAACCAAATTACTACTATCAAAAATTAAAAGGGTAAATTCACCACCAATGAAGAAGAAATTAAAACAATAATTAGGAGCTATTTTGCTCAACTGTATGCCAATAAACTTGATAATCTCAGTGAAATGGATATTTACAAAAATATAAATTGCTCAGATTAACGGGAGAGGAAATAAAATACTTAAATAACCCCATTTCAGAAAAAGAAACTGAACAAAGCCATCAATGAACTCCCTATGAAAAAATCTCCAGGGCCAGATGAATTTACAAGTGAATTCTACCAAATATTTAAAGAACAAGTAATTCTAATACTATATAAACTATTCGGGAAAATAGACCAAGGAGTCCTACCAAATTCTTTTTATGATACAAATATGGTGCTGACACTTAAACTGGGAAGAATCAAAATGGAGAAAGAAAATTATAGATCAATTTCCCTAATGAATATAGATGCAAAAACTTTAAATAGAACATTAGCAAAGAGATAATAGCAACTTATCCTGAACAGAATACACTATGACCAGATAGGATTTACACCAGGAATACAGGGCTGGTTCAATAATAGGAAAACTATCAGCATAATTAACCATATTAACAACAAAACTAACAGAAATCATATGATCACCTCAATAGATGCAGAAAAAGCTTCTGACAAGATGCAACATCCATTCCTATTAAAAATACTAAGAGAGCATAGGAATAAATGTAGTCTTCCTTAAAATGATAGGTAGCATCTATCTAAAACCATCAGCAAGCATTATATGTAATGGAGATAAGCTAGAAGCATTTCCAGTCAGATTGGGGGTGAAATGAGGATGTCCATTATGACTACTGTTATTCAATACTATACTAGAAATGTCAGCTTTGGCAATAAGAGAAGAAAAAGAAATTGAAGAAATTAGAACAGGCAAAGAAAAAACAAAGCTGTCACTCTCTGCAGATCACATTATGGTATACTTAGAGAATCCTAGAGAGTCAAGTAAAGAAATTACTTGAAATAACAAACAAATTTAGCAAAACTGCAGATATAAAATAAACCTACATAAATCATGGGCATTTCTTTGTATTAATAATAAAGCCCAAAAGCAAGAGATAGAAAGAGAAATTCCATTTAAAGTCAGAGTGGACATTATAAAATATCTGGATATCTACCTGCCAAAACAAACCTGGGAACTATATGAACACAATTACAAAACACTTTTCACACAAAGTCAGATCTAAATAATTGGAAAAATATCAGCTGCTCATGGGTAGGCTGAGCTAATACAATAAAAATGACAATTCTACCTAAATTAATTTACTTATTCAGTGCCATTCCAATCAAACTACCAAAAATTATTTTATAGAGCTAGAAAAAATAATAAAATTCACCTGGAAGAACAAAAAGCCCAGAATATCAAGGAAATTAAAGAGAAGAAATCTAAGGGAAAGTGGCCTAACTCTGTAGCAGATCTTAAATTGTTTTATAAAGCAGCAATTATCAAAATTACTTGGTACTGGCTAAGAAACAGAGTGGTGGATAAGTGGAATAGGTTAGGCATGCAATACACAACAGTCAATGACTACAGCAATCTACTGTTTGATAAATTCAAACACTCTAGCTTCTGGGATAAGAATTCACTATTTTAAAAAAACTGCTGTGAAAACTGGAAAACAGTACGGCAGAAACTAGGCACAGACCAACATTCTACACCCTACACCAAGATAAAGTCAAAATGCGTACACGATTGAGATATAAAGGCTTATGCTTTTTTATCCTAAGCAAATGAGGAGAGCAAGGAACAGTTTACCTGTCCAGTCTATGGAGAAGAGAAGAATTTAAGAATTTATGACCAAACAAGAGATAGAGAACATTATGAAATGCAAAATGGATGACTTTGATTACATTAAATTGAAAAACTTTTGCACAAACAAAGCCAGTGCAACCAAAACTAGAAGAGACACAGAAAGCTGGGAAACAGCTTTTTTTTTTACAGCCAGTGTCTTTGATAAAGGCCTCATTTCTAAAATATATAGATAAATGGAATCAAATTTATAAGAACACAAGTCAAAGGATATGAATAGGCAGTTTTCAGATGAAGAAATTAAAGCTATCTATAGTCATATGAAAAAATGCTCTAAATCACTACTGATTAGAGAAGTACAAATCAAAACAACTCTGAGGTACCACATCACACCTATCAGATTGGCCAACATAAAAAACCAGGAAAATGATAAATGTTGGAGAAGATGTGGGAAAATTGGAACACTAATGCATTGCTGGTGGAGTTGTGAAATCATCCAACCATTCTGGAGAACAATTTGGAACTATGCCCAAAGGGCAATCAAACTGTGCATACCCTTTGACCCAGAAATACCACTGCTTAGGACTATATTCCAGAGAGATCAAAGAAAGGAAGAAGGACCCACATGTACAAAAATATTTATAGCAGTTTTTTTTTGTGGTGGCCAAGAATTGGAAATTATGGGGATGCCCTCAATTGGGGAATGGCTGAACAAGTTGTGGTATATAAATGTAATAGAATACTATTGTGCTATAAGAAATGATGAGCAGGCAGACTTCAGAAAAACCTGGAAAGACTTATAGCAATTGATGCTGAGTGAAATGAGTAGAATCAGGAAAATACTGTACACGGTAACAGGCATACTGTGCAATGACTAACTTTCATAGACTTGGCTCTTCTCAGCAATGCAAGGATCTAAGACAACTCCAAA